CGAAACCCCTCCCGGCCGCCGCGCCCAGCGGCGCCGGCCACAACCCCGGCCTGCCCCCCAATTTCAACGAGTGGTACGTCTGAGCCGGCCACGGGACCACCGGGACTGGGACCGACCCGACCCACGGCCACACGGAACCGGGGAGTGCTCCCCCACCCGCCGGCTGCAGCTCCGGCTTGGCCCATCGGAGGCTCTCCCCCTCGCACCACCGGGCGAGCCACGGCCTTTCTCAGGATCGGATTCGTTTCCCCTCCACCCCTCCTTTTTTATTTTATTTTTATTTTTTTACCCCGCTTTTAATTTTCCTCCCCTCCTTCGGTGCCCTCCTAGCCCTGTTTCTTTCTCCCTTTGCAACCCCGACGTGAAACGTTTCCTTCTTTCGCTGGGGAGATCGACCAGAGGATGGAAAGAAACCCCCCTCCGCCTTAGTGCTGATTGTTTGCAACTCACAGTCTTAAACCGTGCCAAAGTTCCTGTTATGTCTTGAACTTTCCTCTCTCTCTCTCTCTCTCTTTCTCTCTCAGCATTACACTTGTGAATGTATTCTCGTCTGATGGGGTCGCTCCGTGTTTTTTCAGGATGAAGGGTGTGGTGTTCTGCCCGGATCGTGACCGTTTTCGAGTCTGAAACCGTTGCCTTTTTGTAATAACTTCTTCTTCTTCTTTTTTTTTTGTAAATACATATCCGCGATGCCATATTTATCGTTTGTAATTTAAGGATCGAGACAAAAAAAAAAAAAAGTGCCGGGAACTGAACAATATTTATGGAGAAGGGAAAAAAAAGAATTAATAATAATAATTAATAATAATAATGGTTTTCTAACAAAATAAAAAAAAAAAAAGAAAGAGTGGGGAAAAAAACGAAAGAAACACAAGAAAATTCCCTGGGAACGGATGGGAACTCTGTACAGCTTTTGGTTATAACTGCTTTAGCATTAAAAGTTTATTGTTTTGGAAAGAGCCCGTTCCCCGCGTTTTTCCACCCCATTCCCCCTCCTCTCTCCGGGCAGCTCTTTCCCCTGGTAGCCCGGTTCCCTGCCGGGCCCGGCCCGCTGCCGTGGTCGCGGTGCTGTGCTGTTGCGTGTGTCCCCCCCGCCTCCCCCGCGCCCTCTCGGACTTGTGCTGTTGCAAACCCAGTGTTGCCGGTGGAGTCACGTCTGTCTGGGAGCAGGAGGTAAACGACACCCGGCTGCGGAGAGCGGGCGGAGGAGCAGCTCTGCCCGCGGGTGTCTGTGTGTCCCAGGCAGCGCGGGTCCGGAGGGGGTGAAGAGCTGTTTACTTCGGATTAAAGTAAGTGCTGCTTCATCTATCCCCAGTGTAGTGGGGGGGGGGGGGGGGGGAGGAGGCACCAGACACCCCCCCACCCCCATCTGCTTCTGCACATTTGTAATGTTTTAAATATCTATTTAAAAAATGGGGGGAAAGCCAAAGGAAACCGAGTCCGCGCCAGACGGGCTGGTCCAGGAGGAGCCGCTGCGCCTTCTCTTTGCATCCCCTTGCAGAGCTCGGGCTTCGGGCATCGCTTCTCCGGCCAGAGGGAGCATCCCGGCGGGGCGCCGCCGCAGCAAGCCCTCGCTGCCCGGGGCATTTCGGCGCGAGGCCCGGGAGCTGCTCCTGGCTGCAGTTGCGGGGGAGCAAAAAACGCTGGACTTGATTTTGTTAAATTAGTTTTTGTTTCTTCTAGGACGAGCCGGGATCGGATGGAGAAGCTCGTGGGCTTCGGAGAAGTTTTTCGCCTCCTAAGTCTGGCCCAGCAGGTGATCGCGGCTCCCGGGCCCCAGGGATGAATGCGGGGGACGCGGGGAGGGCTGGGGCCGGGAGGCAGGAGGGCTGCGGCTCCGCATCTGGCAGCAGGATCCTCCCTCCGAGCCGGGAGAAAACCCGCCCGACGCCGGGGCCGTGCGAGGCCTGAAAGGAGGAGCAGATCCTTCCTCGGCCGAGCCCGGCCGGGCTGCTCCAGGTGCCGCAGACAGCCCCGCCTTGAACTTGACCCCGGCGCGGGCGGCTTCTTCTTGCAGCCCAAGCCAAGCCGGCGGGGCCCCGATCCGGGCCAGGACACGAGGACGGGACGGGACGGGACGGGACGCACGCTCCGCAGCCGCGCAGGGTAAAAGCGCAGAAACCGGGGCGGGGCGCGGGGCTGCTTGCCTGGGGCTCAATCCGGATCCGCTCCGCTTCTGCCGCCGTGATCTGGGCTGTGCATGCAGAGCAGGGTGGGGGGGGGGGGCTTGGTGCAGGGGAGTGGGTGCTTGCAAACCGGCTTGGCCCCTGTTTTCTTGCCCAGCAGCACCCAGAGCTTCCCGGCTGGTGTGTAGCTGGGGCTGGGTGGATTTGCTCCCACAAACCGTGATGGAGGCATGGGGCTCAAACCGGAGCAGGAGGGATAAGAGCTAGCTATGCAGAGCTCTGCCCCCGGTGGGGGGGGGCTGTGGCCTGAGCTGCTTGCTGCTTGCAGCCCCTCCCCATCCAGACTTTGCAAAGGGTTGCTCCTAGCATGCATGCACCCCCTTAGCAGGCACAGGCCAGTCCCTGGGTGGTGGGGCAGGATCTGGGGGCTGCTTTCTGCAGAGCCTGAGCTCCAGGGAGTCACCCCAGGCATTACAAGGAAAGGGTCCTGCGTGTGCCAGTTCTCCCCCTTGCTTGCCAGGCAGCTGCAGGCCTCTGGGCCCCAGCCTCTCCCCTGCGGTAGTGCCAGCCCCTCCTGACTTTATCACCCGACCTGCTGTTTTCATTAATGGGGCAGAGGGAGCTTTGCTTGCCTTTGTTGGGGGGGTGGGGGAAGTTAGTTTCTAGCCCTAAGCCTGGCAGAGAAGCAGCAGACGGAGTGATGGGCAAACCCAGCATGGGGTGAAATGCACCTGGGTCCTGTATCTCCTGATCTTGTGCTTAAAAAAAATAAATCGTACTCTTTTGGGGAATGCTGCTTGTGCTTTCTAGATGCTGGCAGTTCACATCACTGCCCCAGAGCCATTCTTGCTCATGTGATGAGGGCAAACATTGCAGACTCATCTCTAGGGAAGGGCTAGCTTGGCCCAGTAGAGCAGGGGCCAGGTCAGTTTGGCTTTGAATGTGTCATTAATGATGGCTTGTGCATTTTGGGGGTGTTTCTTTTGTTTTTGGTTTTTTATTACTCAAGTGTCCTAACGCAGTGGCACCCCAGCACTGGAAATATAAAGGGCCAAGAGCTGCTTGCCTGCGTTGTGCCAGCAGCCCCATCGAAGGTGAGCAGAACTGGGGCTAGACTAGAATCGATGAATGTATTTTTAAAGGATTTGTGGCGTAGGGAAGTACCCAGAGAAAAAAAGCAGTTGATCAACCCTCCTGGTTCTTTTTCTGCGGTGCCTTCTGTGCTGTGCCTTCTGGCTGAGGACACCGATTCCTCTGGTGCTGTTGTTGTGGCCTGTTTGCATACTTCAGGTGTGAGCTTATGCAAAGCGTACCGGTTTAGATGTCCGTGCTGTGCGTGCCATTGATGGCTTGTGGTGGCACACGTGAAGGCAGAGTCCCAAAGGCTTTCGCTGAGGTTTTGCTTGAGAGTCTTGGGCTTGTGTGCTGTGACTTACATGCCCGTAGTAACTCCATGGGCTTGAATTCTCCGATTTCCAGGCTTAGTTTGGACACTTCCATTAAAAACAAAAAAATACTGCATGTTCCCAAACAAAAAGCATTGCATATTGGCTAATGTCAACTTGTGAGACAAGACAGACTTTCGTGACTGTCTTGGTGAACCATCCCTGACCTGCAGGCTGTTACTATGGTCAATCTAATTATGTGGAAAAAATGCCTCTGCAGAGATACATTATTGTTTTTGGAGAGGAAAAAAACCTGGAGATTAGCTTTCCATTTGCTACGAGGAAGTCCTCATAAATTGCAGAGTCTGCAAAAAAAATAAAAAAATAAAAAAAATAAATAAAAAAAGGAGTTCACACCAGCTAATCTGCCCATCAGATGAAATCGGAGACTTGTTTAACCTTGCTCCAACATTTGCATTAGTCAAAAAAATATATAAGCTGTATCTTGTAAAGGACTAACCGCATGGTTTTTATTCGTGTAATCGAAGGCAATACAAATATTCACAGGATGAAGCGCTTACCGTCGCGTGTACGGGTTCCAGTCGGGACCCAGCCGGCTCAGCGTTGGCGTCAGCTAGCTAAGAGGGACTCCTGGTTGCTGGAAATTCAGGGTAGGGTTTTGGGAATTGACTGGTTGTAGGTTGATGCATTTTAATTTTGGGACACTGAGTTTAATTTCCAGTAAAGAAAGTCATTTGCTATTTTGATTTCCTTCCCACTGACACTTTGGTAAGCCTAAGAGTGCCTGGTTCTTGATTTCAGCTCTTTGTAGGAAGACAGACTTTGAATAGGAGCCTGGGAAGGGCGTTGGGGCAGGGAGAAAGTAGTTGATCCGAGTGGTTTTTTTTGGCTTGGTGAGTTGTTCCATGGTGTCTGCTAAAAAATTGCCCAAACTGGGCTTGGAAACGAGCCCTGCCTGCAGTTGAATGGGCCCAGGCCTTTCTCTTGAGCCCGACCTTGTGCTTCCTTGCGAGTCTCTGGAGTTTTGCTCCTGTGCACGTGGAAGAGGCTGCGCGAGGCAGGGAGCCGGGCGTCATCATCCCCATCACGCCAGCAACAAACAGCGACGAGGCTGTAATCCCTGCCCGTCTCGTAGGGAAGGTGGGGAGGCAGGCGGCCGTTGCCCCAGGGGCATTTAGGCTGAGCGTGGTTGCCCTGCATGTTCTTCCTAGGTCTTTGGACCCTTTTCAGAAGGTCTCCTGCTCCGGGTTTGGGCGTGCAGCAACTTTCGGGATACAAAATGGCTGCTGTGCAGCTGTTCTGGATACGGAGCACGTAGACTAATGACCGCTGAAGCCCACGGGTTTGGAGCAGGCACTAAACAGCCTTTGACACCCTAATCCCAGTCGGCTGCTGTTCCCTGTGACACCCTCCCCTCCCCTGAAGTGGGGGCAGATGAACAAGCCCTTTACGATCCGATGCGAGGGGCCACATAGTTTCATGGGGTGGCCTGCTTGCTGAGGGGCTTTCCCTGCCGGGTGCTGAGTGCCCTCAGTTCCTGCCTCACTTCCACGGGAGTCCCTGGAGCTTGGCATCCTTCAGGATTGATGCTGTGAGCGTGCTGCTCTCTCTATCCCAGTCCTGGCTTTTGGCCCTCGGCTGCTGGCGCTGTGTCAGCCAGAAGACGACATCCGTACTTCGGTGCTCGCATCTTCAGGCCTCCGCGTTTTGGGAATGAAAACGTAGCCCCAGCTGCTGGAAGGGATCTGCCGGCCCGCAAGATCTTCCCGCAAATCAGAATCCCGTCCGTGCAGCTCCAGCTCTCCACGCTCCTTCCCCGGTGCCGTCGCCGAGGTTATTGAAAGTGAAAGAACTTTGCAGTTCTCCTTTGCTTTGTACCGGATTTGCTGTTTCTGTCCCATTTACTAAACAATCGTTCGACTGTTTTGGAGACCACAACTCCCCGCCGGTCCTTTTCACTTCGCCCCTGTTTAATTTTGCTTTTGAGTTAGCAACCTGCTGTTGCGCCTGGGGTTTCCACTGATTAATGCTGCATTATAACAACGTAAAATGTTGCGTTGCTGCTGCATTTCATATCCCTTTGAATCCACGGAGCTGAAGTCTCCCAGCAGTTCTCGATACACTCAGAGTCACGTAGACTACTTTTTTAGGGCTGCAGCTGAGAGCTGGCTCGGTCGCACTTAGCTTTACTCACCTGAGTAACCCGAATCTAAGGCCCAGGCCTATAAACACGCAAGGAAATTCACTCAAGCGGATAGTCCCTGTGGAGTTGGACTAGTTGTGTCTGCCAGTTTTTTCATCCAGCTGAGTAACTTTACAAAGATTTGCTTTATACAGGAGCCCAATTGACTTCAATGCATTGGGGCTACTCGTGTGAGTAAAGTCTCAGAGGATTAATTAAAGTAGGTGTACTCCAGATCTGCGTCCAAATGAAATATGAATTCCAACCCCCCATATATATATATATATATATATTTTTTTTTTTTTTTTACTAGAAAGAATAGTCCAGATGAATTTAAAACATTTTAAATAATCCTGTCAGACATCCTCCAAATGAGAGATTTGCTTTGGATTCATGGGATTTTTCTGTTAATTAGAAAAGTAAGGACATTATATCTCCCTTCTGGTTCGTGAGTCTTTTGGGTCACAGCCTTTCCCAAGGGCTACATGGGATTTTTTCTTCTTCTTTTTTTTTTTCTTCTTTTTTTTTTTTTTTAAAGAAAAGCCCAGTTTCGCCTGTGATCACATGACACGAGGGGCCAGCGCTGTAAGCCGAGCACAACGTACCCTGAAATGGGTGGTGGGAGCGGCAGAGTTGGCACTGCGGTCACAGCAATTCTTTTGATTGCATTTTTTACATCTCAGCTGACATTTATTTTAAAGCAAGCTCATGAAGTGAATGGTATTGTTTGCTCTCGCGCCTTTGTAAACATTGGATTTGGAATTAATGAAAAATCTATCCGACATGAAAATTGTTACATTTTCCCCTCCTCCACCTCCTTCTTTTTTCCCCTTCTTTTTATTTATTCTGGAGGAAAAAGGCAAGAATCCAAACTTGAAACTGCTCCTCAAAGCGCCTCCCTTTGAATTCACTGAGACTGAGTTTGAACTCTTTGATATTGGGCCAAAGAGAATTTTTTTTAATAAGCAGTGGTATTTTAGTTACCCAATTTGAGTTATTTTGTGTGTGTTTTTTGTGTGTGTGGTGGGAGGGGCCTGATTTTTAGCTGGCAAGTCGTGCTCACTTTCTGAAAATCAGGTTCTTCCCAGGTATCTCAGGCTGGGCACCAAAGAAGCAAGTCATGCCATATTTTTTATACCCCCATTTAAAAATCTTGGACTAGAAATAGATTTTATTATGATGAAGATTTTGTTTCCACGTGTGTTGGGAGCAATGAGACCCTTTCCACCCGTTTCAGTGGGACCCTCTGCCAAGCCCCAAAATGTCTTGATAAATCCTGCAAACGCTGCCTGGCTATGAGTGTGTCACCTCCTTTTCTGGTTTGATTTGTAAAATGTATTTCATAGAAGCTGCCTGACGTTGTCTTTCATTAAGCCGTGATAACAAAATGCTACACTCTGAAGACTGCGTCTTTTAAATGGAAGCAATTGCAATTTTGGACTATGGCTATTTGATCAATTTAAAAAAAAAAAAAGACTATCAAGGCATCAGAGAACTGTAATATTAACATGGATCTGAGCTCTCTCTGCCCTAATTTGTTTAGAATTTAAAAGAGCACGTATCATCCAAAAAGAACAATGCTTTTTTTAGGGAGCTTATCAGTGCTCGATTTTTCTTTTGTCCTGCTTTTTATCCTTTTTTTTATGTGTCATTGTTTTGCTGTAGGTTAAGAAGTGTATTCCTCAAGATTGACAGTAAATAGTTGTGAAAGAATTAAGTCAGCAGAAATGCCCCCTACAAAGTTTAGACTCACAGATGCATCAGTCAGGCATTATTGCTCTGAAAATGTGTGCTGGTTTTTGCAATCATTTTTTGCTCTTAATTTTGGCCATTTTTTGTGTGTGTGCGTGTGCACAAAAGCTAGTCCATCAGTGCCACAATCTGAGTAAATAGCATTCGACAAAAGCAACTGACACAATGAAGGGGCATACAAGAAATATTGCATTTCATAAACACAATTGCTAGAGCATTAAGAGAACAAACATGTGGTTTTATGAACATAGTTATAAATATTTAAACATGCAAAATGAAAATGTTACTAAATGTCTGGTTTCCATTATCTTTCAATGAACATTTTCATTCCTGGAAACATTAATAGCTGTCTGCAGAGCGCTGTTACGGAGCCGGGGAGGGGGGGCGGGGGGGACGTATGTATAATATGAAAATGTGTTAAAAGGCAAAATTGTTTGAAATGCCTTTGACCAAAGGAGAAGCTATTCTACCAAATTTGGTGTGCTACATGTACCAAAACAATCATGCACTAAAAATAGGGACTTGTTTTGCTCCTATTGGCAACTTTGTGTTAAAAAGATATTCATATCCAGAGACCAGGTTGGAAAATTTGAGGTGACACTCCATGTGTTTGGGATTGCACCCTGCAGTGGCAGTTTATTCATCTTTTATTATTTATTAGTACCTTTATTTATTTTATTCGAACTATTTTAATAATATGCAGTTATTATTTCAAAGTGTCTGCAAGTGTGCCTGGGTGCCTGTGCGGAAGAGTGTACAGGTTCTAATAAAAAGTTAAGTGCAGACAGTCCCATGAAAGCAAAGGAAAGCTTCCCACTGACCTCAGCAGTTGTGAGATCAGGTCTTGAAATGGGAATATAACAGGGTCTGTATGAGTGGACCCAGGCTCAAAGCAGTCTCGGAAGCGCACGGGGCATTGTACGGGTGCAGGACTTTGCCCGTGGATCTGGTTTCCAGATCAGGGCGCTGGCATTGTGCCACTGCACTGCGCTGCTCGCATCATACAAAGAAGGTGCAATGTGGCTATCAATTATTGCCCTTATGCTCGTTGTCTCTGTGCATTGATGCTAGGGCTTGCTGAAGGCATGGGGCTGGAGAGCACCAGGTCCCGTGTTTCTGGTTGTGCCACTGCTGGGGGTACTATAGTGCTTGTTCAGAAGATAATTTAGGTAAGAGACTCGGAGCGTGGCCTTCTAGGTAAGGAAGGGAGGTCTGTAGGATGGGACAATGGGAAGCGAGGATAGCAAAACAGGGCTGGGGGTGGAGAAGGAGCCAGATCCAAAAAGGGGGACAGAGCTGGAGCATGAGGGGTCTTGAAGGCATCAGTGTGCATGTACAGAAAGCAGTCTCCAGAGCCTCACTCGGTTTGCCTAGACTTCCCTCAAGCAAGTCCTCCGGGGAATGTCCTGGGGTGAGGACGTCAGGATGCAGCCCATGCAAAGTGCTCTGGTGTGCGCAGGCTTGGGTTCCCGTTCTTCACATCCAGACCAGGGGCCAAATCGGGGGAAGAAGCCATCACACCCGGCGCAGGGGATCCAGCATCTTCAGTGGGCTCGTGGCCGTGGACCTGAGAGTCTCCTCTGACACCGGTGGAAGTTGTTTTGTTGGGCCCGGTTGCCACAGGATCGGGTCCCGTAGGATCGTGGCCTTTCCCAAGTTTACAAACTGTGTTACTCCATTCAAGACCAATTGCCAGGGGAGACTGCGGCGAGGAGAGATCCAGCCGCCTTTGGCAGGCGAGACCGAGTGGAGCTGGCACGTTTCCTTGGCCTGCTACCCCTCGCTCCGGGAGAGGAAAGCTCACGTGATTTCAGCATATGACAACTTCAGATCCGCTGCTTTTAGGATAGCAGGAGAGCCTCCGAACCATTTTTAACCCGTCCCAGAGCCTGCCCTAGGCCTGGTGCTTTTCTGGGGTTTTGGGGGGCAACGCGGGTGGGCTCAGACTACTTTGCCCCATGTCCGAGAGCAGCTTGCAGCTCAGACTGTAGCCGTACCACCCTTCCCAGCTCCCGGCCCGAAGTTTCTCCTGACTAACTGGAGCTACTCAGACCTTCCTCTTGGTTTCTTTTTGCTTGCCCCTAAGAAATCTTCAGAATATTTTCAGCAGATTTTGCACGCTCTCGATAAGTTAATTTTTAGAGGGGACACACAGTTTTGTATGCTCGTTGCAAATGATCGTGAGAAAATTCATTCTCCCTCTCTCTCTCTCTTTCTCTCTCAATGCAGATCCTACAAGGAAAATGAAGTGTCTCATGAAATGGAGTTGTTCTGAACATCAGGATTTTTTTTTTTTTTAGTTTTTAAAAGTCCTGTTTTGACTCATTTTTGGGTGAGGTTGCTTAGGTCTGCTCTGCCAACACCAAAAAAAAAAATCTATCCAGGTGTCTTTTTTTTTTTTTAACTTTATGCAATGGTTCCATAACATAGGGAAACCTTGCTATTTTTAATTCTGAAATGCTATTCTTCACTTCTAGCAAGTATTATCTTTATTTTTAATAAGCCCTCCCAAACCTCACGTGCTCAGAAAATTGTTCTCTTGAACAACGGACCCATCAAGACAATCCTAGAATAATCAGCATGAGGAATGGATGTCAGCCGTGGATGGATTGCTGTGTTTCTGGGTAACATAATGCCATTTTAATATCTTGTTTTTAATTCAGCTCAGAGCACCGCTTGATGGACAAGGATGCAGCCTGAAGTCAGTTGTTAGAGGTTATGGCAGCAATGATTTCACACAACCAACCGCACCTCAGCTGTTATTAAGGATATGATGACCTTTTTGGTTGCAATCCTGAAATGCTCACTACCCCTTGCCCTTTGTCAGCGCTGGTTAGCTTCTGGGCCAGACAAAGCAGCAGGTTTAGTTAACTCCTGCCCATTAGCATATTAAATGAAGATGAGCATTTTAGCAGCAACAGTGATTGCATTGACTGATCAGTTGCCATTACCTAGTAGTCATCATGTTTCCCTTGGCTAACGAGATCGGATGCCAGCAATTCAGTCTTCAAACCAGTGAGGTTTGATAAAGAAATCTTTTAAATTTTCCTTGTGCACTTCAGCTCATGTCTTTTCCTCCTAGCCTGGCATCTGTTGCAGTCCTCGAGCGTTTCTGAGCCTGCAATTATTTGGATGCCTGCCCGTTGTCCCAGAGAGGTGCAGGGGAGTTGTTGCGCTAGCCCTGAAACCCGGTGCAGACCTCCGATTTACGCTCTTGGAACAGACTGCATTAGAGCAGCTTCTTCAGTGCATGCTCGTGACCATGCGGCAACACCAAGGAAGATGGG